TTAATCAGTCGAGATTATTTTTACCTTGCCCTCAGCCAAAAAACGTTTTTCCTTTCCTATCAAAAGAATCTTGTCTGAATCACAGGAAATTTGAAATACCTTTTAACTCTTCCCAGGTTCTTGCTTTTCTTGTTAATCAGTCGAGGTTCTTTTTACCTTGCCCTCAGTCAAAAAACTTTTTTCCTTTCCTGTCAAAAGAATCTTGTCTGAATCACAGAAAATTTGAAATACCTTTTAACTCTTCCCAGATTCTTGCTTTTCTTGTTAATCAGTCGAGATTCTTTTTATCTTGCCCTCAGTCAAAAAACTTTTCTCCTTTCCTGTCAAAAGAATCTTGTCTGAATCACAGGAAATTTGAAATACCTTTTAACTCTTCTCAGGTTCTTGCTTTTCTTGTTGATCAGTCGAGATTATTTTTATCTTGCCTGCAGTCAAAAAACTTTTTTCCTTTCCTGTCAAAATAATCTTGGCTGACCTTCAAGATTAAAAGGGATCTGACCTGATTGATCAAGAAAAGCGAGAATCTGGACAGAACCGATCCAAGAACGTCGACTAATGAGATATATTTATTTGAAAACAAAATAGTCTTCGATATGAACAATTCGATTCAATCTGATATTTTTCACTTTTACTACTAGTTTTCATTTAAAATTCGATATTCATGTTCCGATATTGAATTGATGATTAGGCGTACACTTAACAAAATGTAATAGAAAAAACAGAAAGTTTGACTTTTCAATATACGCAATTACTGTTTTACGATTCTCTTCTTTTCTTAAAAGAAAAATAGACTCTAGATTTATAACCATTAAACTACCCAAAAGGCAAAGGAACAAAAAAACCAAATTTGCCATTTTAAGCATATATATGCCGTATCGAAGTTACACCGGTCGACGAAGTTATAACTTCGTCATATTTATACGACAAAGTTATAACTTCGATACGACATATACATATAATTTGGAATATGTGCTACTTCCGTTCTTTTTTCGTGGCATATTCGTGCATCACATAAAAATAACCTATGTGAATAACTTTCGTTAGTTTCTGTTTTTATTACAAATGTTGTATTAGTGATAAATAGAAGATTAGTTTCCTGATATAACATTATTCACACAAGTATACGATGACGTAATTTGAAAGTACTTAGCAAGTAATCAATATAAAAAAAATCTGGTGTCATTTGAAGTTTATCCTAACTAACATTATTATAAAATTATTCTAAAAGCAACAGTAGTTTACAAATGGAATCAAGTTCATTTATAGAAAATATGTCTTTACAAGTGCCATATTCTATCGAGTATGACAATGAAGATCAAAGTAGCCGTTCCAGCAGTGTAACATGTAGCAATACTAGCAGTAGCAGCAGTTTTACGGATGACGAATGGATTGCACTTGATGGTACTGATAAAAATGTTGACAAGAATCAAGTATTATTATCAGTTGGAGATATCGACATCATTGCTCAAGTCTTACCAAATATTGTTCGAGTACCTTGGCAAGATGAATTGACAAGGCAATCAAACAAAAATGAAATGCTCTATTGTTGTCTTGGCATTAGTCCTAGTCAGTTTCGAAGACTAATCCCATCAAAAGAAAACCTAAATCGTAATACATCACATATGGCTATTCTCTATGCTCAGATGGCCATGCAATATACACTTGAGCAAAACAATCAATTTGCAGAGAATAATGTTACCATATCACTTGTTGTGCTCATTGTGGATGCCATTCAAAAATATAATTTTGCCGTCTTCAATGACAAACAATTGAAAACAGGTACAGCTCTCAAGTATGCTCTAGAAGAAGGCAATCGATTGTTCGATATATTTACGCAAGCTCGAGTTCGACTTTCATCAGAACTTGCTCAACATGTTACTATCATTCGTTGGAATGACATATGTAATGAAAAATATGATGCATATGTTCGTATATTGCAACAACATATGACAACAAGCAAACAATTTGTTGAACTTATCAATGATGTAGTACAAGTATTTATTGATGTGCGCAAACCAAATGGTTGTTTTACCGAGCAACAACTTCAATATCTTCGAGAATATGTTCTGAATGAGTTACCTGCTCTGATACATGGTCCTGTTTATAATGGTCACCTATATTCCATCATTATTCATCCAATTTTATCATCAAATAATGCAAAAAATGATGCTCAACGTGAATTGATACTTCGTCTTCTAAATTATGTTCGTCATTCATCTGAACTATGCTATTACTTAAATATGATCGAACAAGTACCGATGTGTGAAATTTATGATATTGCAATACCAGCTTACAAATTACCAGTTATTCCATTAACTGAAATAAACTAATAATTTTATTTGGGTGACTCATCTTAACAATCTTTTACCATATAAACTTATTATACTAATATTTGAAATGTACATCAGTTTTTTTTCCATTTCTTATTCACAATAAAGATTTATTCAATAATTTAGCTGATTCAATATTACAAGATTCTATCGTAATCCGAAAGAGAAATTAGAACCTAGATATTCTAGGGGTGTGGGTGGGGTGTGGGTGTGGGTGTGGGAGAGTGTGGGTGTGTGGGTGTGTGTGTGGGTGGGTGT